AGCATTTGCTGCATGTTGACAGGTTTCTTACATGCTCATCTTTGGTCTGCATACTACCACTCAGAGGTTAACTAACTACTATAATTTTAATGATCTGGGACAGATAACCAGAATCTTTCAAGAGGCATTTCATAGTTTCTCCTGTGGTTGTTGGCCCATTCATGAATCCCACGTGTTGTTGTTACCGGGATTCTCTTGAAGGGCATCATTGGGGAGGGACCAGTACTCATTAAAACAAATCTTAAGTTACAGTTTAGTTTACTTTCTGTGGCATTTGAGTGGAGGTCAGAGGACTGGCTACAGTCATTGGATCTACCTTGGGTCTCAGGCTTGGTGATAGTGGCAGGCTCTCTCTCTGCTGGACAACCTCACTGGCTCAAGAAAAGGACTCTTTTTAAATTTGTGTGTATGGGTATTCTGCCTGTACGTGTATGTGTGTATCACATACATGCCTGGCCTGGTGAAGTCACAACAGGGAATCAGATCCCCTAGAACTGGAGTGACAGTTGTGAGCCCCGCCATGTGAGTGTGGGGAATTGAACCTGTGTCCTCTAGAAGAAATTAAAATTATAAGAATTTTACATTTATGAGAGCCACATTTGTACCATAAAACTTAATTTTATCTTGTTTGAAAACAGCATAAGATAGTGTGAATGTAAATTGTAGGGCATTGGAAAGGAGTCTAAAGTATGACTTAACACAATGTAGAATTATAGCCCAATTAAGACTTCCATATTCCTTAGAGAACTGACAGGTTACCTTGAGGTTACCTTCAGATTAATCATTACAAAATTCTGAATAAAGATTTTATTAGATTATTTAAAATAGACAGTAGAGACCATGAGATAAAGGAAAGGTCAAGAACTAGGAACTTGTTACAGGAGCTTCTGGATAGTTATTATGCACGAACAGTTACACGACTGGAACTCCACGTTGATGGAGACAGCTCACTGCCATTCTTTGTTTTAGAAAAATATTGTTTTATTTTGATTAATTAGTTAACTTGGCTTTTTTTTTTTTTTTTTTTTTTTTGAGACAGGGTATCAATAGCTCTTGCTTCCCTGGAACTCACTCTGTAGACCAGGCTGGTCTCTAACCCACAGAGATCCACCTGCCTCTCTCTGTTTCACAAGAGCTGGGGTCAAATACATGTGCCTGTTGCCTGGCTGAAAAAAAAGAAAAAGCCGATAATTTTTAATGCAGAATTTACCTGTTGAATATTTTTAATACACAGATAAAATAGTTGATAATAATTTGACTGGATTTTTGACAAAATTAGAAGTGTGTCCCTTTCCTCATTCAAAACAAGTAACAAGTCTTAAGAAAAGACGGAACTTTGTAGATGTAACGGATAGTTTGGAGGACAGTTTGCACTTGGAATAAATACTGTGTAGGAAAACAGTTTAAACATTACTTGCCTCTCAGAAACTTTTAGTAGGTGTTGTGAGACAGGCTACCAGTGATGGGTGGCGTAGTGGATACCAGGATCAGGACTCTGAATGCTTCTTTCTAAGCAAGATGAGCCAGTTGCTAGGAAACACAAATGTCAATGTAACTGTTTTCTTGTTTCATTTTTAGAAGTGTAAAGGATTTTAAAATTGGCAATGATACATTGTATGTTCAATTCTTAATATAGACCATAATCTTCATGGTTATTATCTTTTGAATTTCAAGATCAGGGGATAGACCTATGGCTTAGTGGTTAAGAAGAGTGTGTGTTCTTCCAGAGATGCTGAGTTTGGTTCCTAGCACCCATGTGTGTTTCTCACAGCCTTTTGTAATTCCAGCTCTAGGGGAGACACATGCACACGCTCACACAACTAATTACAAAGTGAAATAAATTTCAAAATTTAAGATAATTGGTCAACAGTTAAAATTTTATACACATTTTATTAGGTGAATCAAATTAACAATGTTATTTACTTAAAATTTACCTGTCTGTTATTTAAAAGCTGAATTACCAGTCAAGTTATGCCTGTTTTCAATTAGATTAAAAATTTTTTTTAGAAGTCATATTTAAAATAGAAAGATAAGGAATATAGATTGGTTGGGAAGGTGACTGTATTTTCACCCTATTGTTTCTGGAGTGATAAATGTATGTTTCTATCTGTACGTCAAACATGATAAAAATATTTATTTTCTCAATAGGCCTTGATATTTTGAGTAAGATCATATAAACTATTAACTATCATGAGTATTCCCATGTTAGAAATGGCATTGAGATATTACTGTGGCCATAGTAATTTTTTTGACTCAAATTTTAGTAGCTTTAATTTCACAACAAAATTAAACATAGTCATTTTCTTACCTTGAGCAGTCATCATGATGCTGTTTGTTGAAAGGAATGTGTTTCTGTTGTCAGTCTTAGTGGATACACAAAAGCCATTTTGCCAATCATTTTTTTTAAGGTGTTAGCATTTGTACTGAGAACATAACCTGGATGATGTTGTTACGACAGTCACTGAAGTGAAACAGCAACAACCTCACCTTCACACTGATGGATAGGAAGCATTTCTGACATCTTTCTCATGACTTAGGAATTTCGTGTATGTCTTGAGATTTGTTATTCTCTTTTTGTTTTAAGGTTGAAAACTTTACGTATTTCATATTCTGACAGTTCAAACAGTATGAACATTTCAAATTTCTTATTTTGAAAACTTGGCATCACTAATGTTAGCAAATACTCGTGCTATTGTGTGTGTGTGTGTGAGAGAGCGAGAGAGAGAGAGAGAGACAGAACTATTTTGGTCTCAAGAAGATGTTAACTTTCTTAGACAGTATTTATATAGTTCTTATTTGTTATTTTAAGTGACTGTATCTTACTTGCTTGATGCATCAATTGGTACTAAACTTGGGCTGGGTTGCCTGCAATTCAGAGGTATGCATATAACAGAGTTGACATGTACCTATAGGAGCAAAGCACAGAAACCTTACAATATCAAAGTTCTGATATGAAAAAAAAATGTACTAGTCCCCATTTTTCTCCACTGTTAAATGATTAGTGTCTCAACTGGTACTTTCTGCCATGAGGAGTATAGGTGATTCTCTTAGGCTGAGCTATTGCAGAAGACCCCAAGACCATAAAATTTGCATTTTTATAAAATTAATTGTGTCATGTTAGCATTTCGAAACAGCATTTTGGTATAACTTGTACTTTCAGAAAAGTTCTAACAATAGAATTGTGTTTGATATTAAAGAAAAATTGTACAGTATCTATATTTTAATGCATTTTGCATTCTACAGTCTAGATGATAATAGATTTGATATGCCCTATGCTATTTTAGGGGTATATTTATATAGTTTGGAGAGGGTGTAGCTGACTTTTAAAAAACTGTATTAGGGAAATTTCTTATAGAAAACTAAACTGAGTAGAGCCAATCATATATGAAGGAATCCTGTGTCTTCATCTCTTACTCTCAATTAATATAATATGAATAGTCTTGTTTTATTCAGCTTTCGTTACTTAGCTCGATGATGTAGAAGGGAATCTTTCCCCAGTGATGTAGAAAGGAATCCCAGACATTATATAATTTAACTGATGTTTCAGTCTCTTTCTCTCCTAGTTTTGGGACTCAGACCCAAGATCTCTTGCAGGATGGGCAAGCACTCTTTTTTTAATTAATTTTTTATTTTTTTATATTAATTACATTTTATTTGCTTTGTATTCCAGCTGTAGCCTCTTCCCTCGTTCCCTCCCAACCTCACCCTCCCTCTTTCATCTCCCATGCCCCTTCCCAAGTCCACTGATAGGGGAGGTCCTCCTCCCCTTTCATCTGACCCTAGTTTATCAGGCCTCATCAGGACTGGCTGCAATATTCTCCTTTGTGGCCTGGCAAGGCTGCTCCTCCTTCAGGGGGAAGTGGTCAGAGAACCAACCACTGAGTTCATGTCAGAGACAGTCCCTGTTCCCATTACAAGGGAACCCACTTGGATACTGAACTGCCATGGGCTACATCTGAGCAGGGGTTCTAGGTAATATCCGTGAACAGACCTTGGTTGGACTATCAGTCTCAGAAAAGACCCCTGTACCCAGATATTTTGGTACTGTTGCTCTGCTTATGGAGCTCCTGTCCTCCAGGTCTTTCTACCTCCCCCTTCATTCATAAGATTCCCTCAATCTGCCCAATGTTTGGCTGTGAGTCTCAGCATCTGCTTTGATACACTACTGGGTAGAGTCTTTCAGAGGCCCTCTCTGGTAGGCTCCTGTCCTCTTTCCTGTTTTGTCCTTCCCATGTCCATCCTGTTTGTCTTTCTATGTGAGGATTGATCATCTTACCCAGGGTCCTCCTCCTTGTTTGGTTTCTTTAGGTGTACAGATTTTAGTATGTTTATCCTATATTATATGTCTAGTATCCACTTATAAGTGAGTATATACCCTGTGTGTCTTTCTGCTTCTGGGATACCTCACTCAGGATGATCTTTTCTAGATCCCACCATTTGCCTGAAAACTTCATGATTTCCTTGTTTTTAATTGCTGAGTAGTACTCCATTGTGTGGGCAAGTACTCTTATCACTGAGCTACATCCTTAGCTCTTCAATGTATGTCTCAGAGAGAACAGAAAATATTTGCATTTCCTGTGAGTACAAATTAGCTTTGTTGTAGAATAGTTCAAAAGTGCTTGGAAACAGTCTGGTCATAACAGCATCTTGTAGTTAATATGCATTTAGAAAGATGAGTTGGTGTTACTTGGATATTTGATTATCACAGTGAATCTCAAAGGATTTGGAATGTTGATTTTATAAATATATCTATGAACACGTGGATTTCCTGTCACATGTATGTATGAGGCATCTGACAGTTTGCATTGTGAATGGTTCCCACCCTCTCTACAGAATTGTTTAAGAGAGACAAGCAACATGTCATAGTAACATTTAGTATTCTGTCAGCCCATGGATGAGCCATTAATCAAAGAGAAGTGAAGGAGAGTAGTGTGGAGGTAAGCAAGAGAGAACAAAGAAGAAAGAAGGAATATTAGATGAAGAGTGGTGATAGAGTAAACATGTCAGCAGAGGTGCAGGGATACCACACTTTCTCTCACTCTTTGCTGTGTCTTGAGTTGTATAGTTCTACTTATTTTTGACGTTAACTAAACCTTGCTTTACTTTTAGCATCTGAACAATTGTTGATTCCTTTCTTTTTTTTTTTTGCCCCTTTATCTAGAAAAGACATTGCTCTTCTGCATTCAGATAGCAGTGTTTTGTTTTTTTTAAACTTTTATTAATTACACTTTATTCATTTTGTACCCCCCATAAGCCCCTCCCTCCTCCCCTCCCGGTCCCACCCCCCCCTTTCTGCATGCATGCCCCTCCCCATTCTTATTGAGTGTTGTTGTTGTTGTTGTTTTTTAATGTTCAGGGGTTGTGAGATAAAACTTTAAAACTGAATTACTTTAGGACCAATTGTGCTGTATTTGCTTTTATACAGATAAATGATTGTGTAAATGAGTTCAAATTTTGGGTACTTCCTAGGGGCTGAGTTAAACTGCACTCTGGATGAATTATCAGTGTAGAAAACATTAACTTTGTATAGAGGTTTGCTTTAGATGCTCTTACTGGAAAATTGTATAATAACTTTTCTTTGTATGTTCTCTCTTCCTGCCCCTTTCCTGGATGAAATTGGTTCTAATCAAATTGGACTCTGCAGTTCACAAGATTCCTTTGCAACTCACCATTGGAGGTAAGAGATGCCTTTTAGATCTTTGTGTTAGTATTGCCAATAGAGTAGCTCTGCTTGTTTCTTTCATCTGGCATTTCTTTGATAATTTAGGAGTGATTGTTCTAAAGCAATACATTTTTCAGTAATAGTAATGGAATGAACACAGCCAGTTTCTGTAACAGCTATTCACCTTTGTGACTGGTCGGTGCCCCTTAGATACATTTCTTTTTCTCAGTAAGTAGAGAGGAGTCAGCCCTAGGCTGTATTTCTGTGACCCCTGTGTTGCTTCATACTCTGCTTATGTCACTGTCACGCTTCGCAGAGCTGGATAGGCATAAGCTGTCATCAAGGAGACTTCATGTGCATAAAACACTGGAGGAACAGAGGACCTGCCTGGCATGGAGCATTCGTTATAACACAGGCCCTGTTCTCAGTGCTTCCTTTGCTTCTCATTTTGTTGTCATCCTGGTTCTCATTTGGAAAAGTTGTGAGGTTTAAAAAAGTCACTGGATGATCAGAGAACCAGAGTCGTGTGACCTGTAGTTGGAGAAAAGCTTGTGGATGATTATGGAGACTTAGAAAAAAGCAGAGCACTGTGAATAGAGGCTGGACTTGAGCCATGTCAGGTTCAAGATGTGCCTTTGCTTACTAGCTACATGGCACTAGAAATCAAAATTTCCCTAGCTATCCTTTTAAATGAGGCAGCATGTTTGTGAACAGAATTTTATTGTTCAAATCCTGTAATATTTTGTATTCTTCTTTTAAGGTGGACATCAACCCCTTGTACTCCAATCTGTGTTTTCATTTTGTTTTGTTTTTGTTTTTGGTCTTAATTTTATCCTTTTCTTTGCTTCTGTTGTTTGTTTCACTTTAAGAACCCCCTTCTCAGTTCCCAGCTTCTCCAATAATACTCCTTTTCAGAGTTGAGCCATAGCCTTGTATTCTTTGTGAGACCATCTCTGATCTACTCATACATTGGGAGTTTTTTATTTTTTCCTATTTCTATAGTGTTGTATTCATTTGATTATTGGAGTTATTCTTCTTAATGGTGAGTGATGGCCTGTAACCAGTTTGAATCATCTCTAGGAGAAATGGAATAGATCAGAGAAACTGTAACCGACCAGGTTTGGTCACATTTTCTAATCCTTCAGTCTTAGGATGGAGACAAAGTATAATGGTGGAAGGATGCAGGGCTGTGAGTTGTGAGGGATATGAGTGGCCCATAGTCAAGTCATTTAGTCCCTCTGGGGTTTAAATGCTTTCTACTTTCCAGTCTGAAAAGGGAGTAACACTCACAGGGTTATTATAATTAAATGAAATGATTTGTGGCCAACACTGAGCATAGTATAGGAAACAGAACTTTAAATAATGAAATAGAAATAAAAAATCATAAGAAACTTGAAGACAGTATGCATCTATTATCTGCTGAAATTGAAGAAGTACTTTCTGACCAGATACAAAAGGCTAGGAAAATTTGGTTTGACTGTATAAAGAGACATAATTTTGTACATGAAAACAAATGTAGCTAAAGGTAATTCAGGGCCTGGAGAGATGGCTCACTTGCTGCTCTTTTAGAGGACCTGGGTTTGTTTCCTAGCGTTTGCATAACGGCTCACAACTACCTGAAACTCCAGTTCCAGGGAATCCAACACCCTCTTCTGTCCCCTGTAGGCAACAGGTGTGTATGAAGTACACATACAAACATGTACACAGAACACTTGTATACATTAAAATTGAATAAATCTTTGAAAATTAAGGCAGTATGGTAATTGTAATAAAGGCATTATTTAATATATTTAATCTTTTAGATCCAATAAAATATCTTTGCTATTCTTTTGCACAAAATTATGTTAAATGCTATAAGTAGTTGATAAAATAATGCAACTGATAAAAAATGTCATTGTGTGTTAGTAATGTGAGAAATGCAGTTTAAAACAATAAAGTTAGTTAGAGTACCTTCCATACATAGCATATTAGTAAGGAGGCTGGAATTGGAGGTCCACATCCCTGGTCAGTTGACATTTAGAGCAGTGGTTCTCAACCTTCCTACTGCTGTGACCCTTTATACAGTTCTTCATGTTATGGTGATCCCCAGCCATAAAATTATTTTGTTGCTACTTCATAACTGTAAATCTGCTACTGTTATGAATTGTAATGTAAATATCTGATTTATAGGATGTCTGATATGTAACCCCTGTGAAAGAGTTGTTTGACCCCTCACAGGTTGGGAACTGATGATTTAGATGATTATTGACCATTTGCAAAAATGCTTTTAAATGGGTCTCACCAATAAATTTCTCTTAAATGTAAGTTCAGTGAGAAGAGAGCTTTGTTTCCCCATGTTCTTTTTTTAAAGATATATTTATTTATTTTATGTATGAGTGCACTATCTGCATGCACCTGCACGCCAGAAGAGGGGGCGTCAGACCTCATTATAGATGGTTGTGAGCCACCATGTGGTTTCTGGGAATTGAACTCAGGACTCCTTGAAGAGCAGTCAGTCTTCTCAACCACTGAACTGTCTCTCCTGCCCTACGATGTTCCTATTTTTAATATAATAAGTTGTACATAGTAGGCACTGCTTTAGTAAATACTTGTTGGATGGATGGGTTGGAGTATAAATGGATGGAGAGATTACTGAATGAGCTTGGTAGGGTTGAGGCTAAGTGTAGCAGTCTTTTATTTATAATTTGACAGAACTCAATTGACAGCAAATGAAGTTTACTGTTTGTATTTTAATGTACTCAACTGTTTTCCCAGCTTGATTGAGTCTACTAAGATTGGATACTGCCTTTTTTATCTTCGATGCTATTAGTTGTAGAAAGTTGGAGTTTACCAACTACCAATAGACCAACAAATAAAGATTTTAAAATCGCCTCTCACTATTCTGGTTAAATATTGGGGCTTAGTGTATCAGATCTGTAATCTTTGGTGAAAAGTATAAAGTAATAACATGATCAAAATTGAGTGATGGTTTTGGGCTTATAAGAGGAAGATAAAATAATTAAACATGGTCATCCTGCCTCCACTTCCCTGGTAGGATATACCTTGAGAATTTCTGTTGATAGTTCTTTAGCTTGGAATTCCACAGATGCTGCCTGATGGTTTACTGAATGGCAGCCATTCCCAGATCTCCTTCGGTAGCTCTGAGCTCAGTCAGGATTTGGTTTCATTTCACTACACACTGCCTGAGAGGCAAAGCCAAGCCAAGAGAATGCTGGAATCCTCTATGTGTTTAATTTTACTATTCAGAGTATATTTTAGCCGGGGATAGGTATTCTCCTAATTTTAAAAAACAAAAGAATAATTCCAATAGAGACAGCAATCTATAGGAAATTTACAGATAACAAAGCTGACTTTGAGCTTCATTTTGTCCATAAGAAGTTCCATGAATGAACCAGGTTCTTCTGTTGTCAGCTCCAGCCATTTAACTGCCACATGAATCTAATGAAATTGTCAGGTTATAATAATTACGTCAGTAATCTGATATGTTGTCACTTGAATGGACCATGTGTGGAAAGTCAGTTCCTTCTCTCTGTGGGGTTGACCCTTTTCATTCCTGAAGACTAATAGCAATCAATAAGGGTTATGGGAAAGAGCTTTTATCACTTTGTCAAGCCAGGCAGCGCATTTCTATTATATTTCTAATTTTGAGTGGCTCTCTGTAGCTGCTGATGTACACTTCCCTGCTAGGTTTAGTAGGACTTCTGCCTTATAGAGATTTTTACTGACATTTCTGAGTCTGAGTTATATTTTGTGTGGCACCACTTACAGATGTCTTCAATTAAATGCAGGTAAATAAACGGGATTATGTGTCAGAGGTCAAAAGATTCCTGACATTCTCTTAAGAGTCAGACTTTTCCACCCAGGCCAGTAGGCTTCTGTCTCCTTCTCATGCTTGGAGACCAGAGATAGCTGCAGCATAGGCTAACATGTTAGATCATGTGTCAGTGTGGGGCTCGGACTTCTCTTTAGGTATGTCCTTCTGATCCTTCATCTCAGATTCAAGTTCTCTCTCTTAGGAGTTATATTACTGAGAAGCCAGTATCTATAATAGGCAGGACGGTGCTTATCACATTCCTTATGTTATTTCTCACAGAATATCTAATGCTTATGATGAAAATTGAGCCCAGAAAGGTAGATCAGACTAGCTGGGTGCTGAGACCCACAGCTAACAGTGTGGGACAGGAAAAGCAAGACGGGAAGAAGACAGAATGGCACTGCCATGAGATGCTCGCATTCAAGACTCTTACTTGAAGGAAACTAGTGATCAGAGATGGATTTAGTGAACTTAGGAGCAGGATTTATGAACCTTAGCCTTACAGGCATCACACCTTTGTAGTGCGGTGCTGTGCGATGCTGATCACGTTGGAAGCTTAGCTGCGTCTCCAGCTTCTGTCCACTAGATGCCAGTAGCACCCGCTTTACTACAATGGCAAGCACAGTCTTGTAGATGACACTGCCAGGTGGCACTAAGAAGCAAAATTGTTTTCTCTTGAAAATCATTATGGGACGTGTACGGGGTGGGGGGCAATACAAAGAGAGAACATTAATGATCCAGTAGTGCTGATAAGATACAGTGTGAAAATGTTTTCAGTTCAATAAAAGGTAAGAAAAAGTAGGAAAAGTAAACTAAAAATATAAGTGGGACAAAAAAACAAAACCAAAAAAACCAACAAACCAACAATAGAAACGTATAAGACCAGTGGCAAATGGCCCTCTTAAATACAGTTAATTATTGCATTAAATATAAAATCTTAAATCAAACTTGGTTTCATGGGAAATTTTATTTTCGCATTGTTCCAATCTATCTTGGCTATTGTATTACATTTGAATTTTTCAGATTTTTGTTTTAAATTCCAATAGCCACATGTGGTCAGTAGTTATGCTGTTGTACAGTATAGGGCCACACACTCCAGTTAAAAGTTTGAGATTGTCAGGCTGGATAAAAAAATAAAAGTAATCTCTACACTTAAATTTGAAGATGTGGAGGACTTAGAGGAAATAAAAGACTGCAGTAA